GGCTACTGAATGTCAACATACTCCAGGCTAGTGAATGTCAACATACTCCAGGCTAGTGAATGTCAACATACTCCAGGCTAGTGAATCTTATCATAATGCAGGCTAGTGAATGTCATCATACTCCAGGCTAGTGAATGTCAACATACTCCAGGCTACTGAATGTCTTATACTCCAGGCTAGTGAATGTCAACATACTCCAGGCTGGTGAATGTCAACATACTCCAGGCTAGTGAATGTCAACATACTCCAGGCTAGTGAATGTCAACATACTCCAGGCTAGTGAATCTTATCATAATGCAGGCTAGTGAATGTCATCATACTCCAGGCTAGTGAATGTCAACATACTCCAGGCTACTGAATGTCAACATACTCCAGGCTAGTGAATGTCAACATACTCCAGGCTAGTTAATGTCATCATACTCCAGGCTAGTGAATGTCAACATACTCCAGGCTAGTGAATCTTATCATAATGCAGGATAGTGAATGTCATCATAATGCAGGCTAGTGAATGTCAACATACTCCAGGCTAGTGAATCTTATCATAACGCAGGCTAGTGAATGTCATCATACTCCAGGCTTGTGAATATCAACATACTCCAGGCTAGTGAATGTCATCATACTCCAGGCTTGTGAATATCAACATACTCCAGGCTAGTGAATGTCATCATACTCCAGGCTAGTGAATGTCAACATACTCCAGGCTAGTGAATCTTATCATAATGCAGGCTAGTGAATGTCATCATACTCCAGGCTAGTGAATGTCAACATACTCCAGGCTAGTGAATGTCAACATACTCCAGGCTTGTGAATCTTATCATAATGCAGGCTAGTGAATGTCATCATACTCCAGGCTAGTGAATATCAACATACTCCAGGCTAGTGAATGTCAACATACTCCAGGCTAGTGAATCTTATCATAATGCAGGCTAGTGAATGTCATCATACTCCAGGCTAGTGAATATGAACATACTCCAGGCTAGTGAATGTCAACATACTCCAGGCTAGTGAATATCAACATACTCCAGGCTAGTGAATGTCAACATACTCCAGGCTAGTGGATGTCAACATATTCCAGGCTACTGAATGTCAACATACTCCAGGCTAGTGAATGTCAACATACTCCAGGCTAGTGAATGTCAACATACTTCAGGCTAGTGAATGTCAACATACTCCAGGCTAGTGAATGTCAACATACTCCAGGCTAGTGAATGTCAACATACTCCAGGCTAGTGAATGTCAACATACTCCAGGCTACTGAATGTCAACATACTCCAGGTTAGTGGATGTCAACATACTCCAGGCTAGTGAATGTCATCATACTTCAGGCTAGTGAATGTCATCATAATGCAGGCTAGTGAATGTCAACATACTCCAGGCTAGTGAATGTCAACATACTCCAGGCTAGTGAATGTCAACATACTCCAGGCTAGTGAATGTCATCATACTCCAGGCTAGTGAATGTCATCATACTCCAGGCTAGTGAATGTCATCATACTCCAGGCTAGTGAATGTCAACATCCTCCAGGCTAGTGAATCTTATCATAATGCAGGATAGTGAATGTCATCATAAAGCAGGCTAGTGAATGTCAACATACTCCAGGCTAGTGAATCTTATCATAATGCAGGCTAGTGAATGTCATCATACTCCAGGCTAGTGAATATCAACATACTCCAGGCTAGTGAATGTCATCATACTCCAGTCTAGTGAATGTCAACATACTCCAGGCTAGTGAATCTTATCATAATGCAGGCTAGTGAATGTCATCATACTCCAGGCTAGTGAATGTCAACATACTCCAGGCTAGTGAATGTCAACATCCTCCAGGCTAGTGAATCTTATCATAATGCAGGCTAGTGAATGTCATCATACTCCAGGCTAGTGAATGTCAACATACTCCAGGCTACTGAATGTCAACATACTCCAGGCTAGTGAATGTCAACATACTCCAGGCTAGTGAATGTCATCATACTCCAGGCTAGTGAATGTCAACATACTCCAGGCTAGTGAATCTTATCATAATGCAGGATAGTGAATGTCATCATAATCCAGGCTAGTGAATGTCAACATACTCCAGGCTAGTGAATCTTATCATAATGCAGGCTAGTGAATGTCATCATACTCCAGGCTAGTGAATGTCAACATACTCCAGGCTAGTGAATGTCATCATACTCCAGGCTAGTGTGTGTCATTATGATCCAGGCTAGTGAATGTCTTATACTCCAGGCTAGTGAATGTCAACATACTCAAGGCTAGTGAATGTCATTATGATCCAGGCTAGTGAATGTCGTATACTCCAGGCTAGTGAATGTCAACATACTCCAGGCTAGTGAATCTTATGATAATGCAGGATAGTGAATGTCAACATACTCCAGGCTAGTGAATGTCATCATAATGCAGGCTAGTGAATGTCATAATAATCCAGGCTAGTGTGTGTCATTATGATCCAGGCTAGTGAATGTCTTATACTCCAGGCTAGTGAATGTCTTATACTCCAGGCTAGTGAATGTCAACATACTCCAGGCTACTGAATGTCATTATGATCCAGGCTAGTGAATGTCGTATACTCCAGGCTAGTGAATGTCATCATACTCCAGGCTAGTGAATGTCATCAAAATGCAGGCTAGTGAATGTCATCATAATGCAGGCTAGTGAATGTAATCATACTCCAGGCTAGTGAATGTAATCATACTCCAGGCTAGTGAATGTCATCATACTCCAGGCTTGTTTACTTCTCAAGTTTAAGTAGCATCACTGGAGGAGAGTTTCAAGGATGCATAGGAAGCCATGTCTGTGTGGAAGGTGATGGGGGAAGTCTGTGGTATTTTCAAAGGCAAACCGTAATCATCAGTTTTAAGACGTCTCGATGCGCAAATGCTTCTGTCAGTTTGTACTGACCTGGAATACCTGCATGTATACTTGTTGTATTATAACACCACATGAAAAGCTTATTTTCATCATTACCTAATAAAACATTGCTTTTACTATGAGTGTTACATTTCTATTTGATACAAATCAATCCAATGTGAATCTGAACTGTAGTACAAATTTCCTTTGATAGCAAGTTCATAGAAACTTTCACCAGCATTTTATATGAAATATCTTAACACGAGTTGAATGAAGTAGCAACATATGTAGGTTTCAAACACGATTGCCAACCTTACTGGACAAACGAGACAGGGTATTCAATATTTAGAAAATAAACAACGAAATATATTGAAATATGTTTTTTATTCCTAAGTGAATGAATAGTATATGACGCTATCTTCCATAAGTCTCGTGTCGGTGTGTCAAACCTTCGCGCAACTATTATGACGTCAACAGGCAGTGTGATGCGATAGACAACAGCAGATAGAAAATTTACAACTCTGAATCTCACCACACACGCTCTTGATTATATTGTTTCCACGCACCCGGAACACAATTTGCGAATATTTTCCAAGTAAAATCAGTGTTTGAAATTGCCGAGTTTGGAAATGTTCTTACAAACAAATGGGTTTTTTATGGGTTGGTGAATGTCCATGTCAAAATAACGTCAAAGCAGCGTGCTAAAATGTCAAGGTGGTATCGATATTATAGAAAAAAGAAAGAAAACTCCTAATTAATCTGATAAGCCCGGTGTACATGAAACTTGGACTCTACGGTAACGTGTGTAGTTAACATGTGTTAAAATATTTCCTGTTGTGTTAAGTATTGGCTCATATCATATGCTATTCAAACATAGCATAAAAACAAACCTGCAGTCCTTTCCCTGCAAAACCGTACCGACGGAATGCAACATGGACGTGAATCAGAAAACAGCAACTCATCATTAATGGCATGAAAGTTATTTATTTGTCCATGCCAACTCGTCACCATAATTTCAGACAATGTCATGAAGTAGAGAATATTCAACAAACTATCATGTTATTGGGGTGTTTCAGTGCATGGTCTTACAATGGGGTCTGCACAATAGACATAAGAGCTGAATGGGGAGTCACAAAACTTCTATTCTGAAATAATTTCACTGTTACTGTCAACTGAAATAATAATTTGACTGACAGTTGCATGATCTAAACCATCTCTTTTACAATATGAAGTTTTAATTCCGGCCTCAACGGTGTCAGTCCAGCCTTTCTAACTTACAATAATCATAAACGTGAAATACCAAGGTTCTCAAATCACCTGTGAATTTCGTCACGTACCGTATTGTAATGATACATTGAGCTCGTTCTGTTTATTTAATTATTTGTATTTGAAGTAAGCTGAAAAGCAATACCAAGAACATCACTAACATTGCTTTGATAATATTTTAAAGTTTAATAACTACTACAGAAAGATTGCTTCTGATTTAGACGTTTCATTTGACAGGAATACAGAGAAGACAGATGTGGCTTGGCCTAACACGCCCAAATTTCGATTATTTACAGACCGTCGTCATATAGCTGGAATATTGCTGAGTGCGGCGTAAAACAACAAACCATAATGTAAGATGTAACCCACCGCGCTACGTTCGCATACCGACAATAGCTGAGACCAAACAGATATGAGTAGGTGATTTGTAAGCTAGTCGTGCATAATAGTCAGTCAAGCCTCTCGCTACTTGAGAGTAAACATGTATGTATTATTAGAAGTGTATATGGAATGATTATGCATGTGTGTCCAATATGTATAATTACATGTATACCCCCAACAGCAGGAACGTGTCTTTGATCAAACAAAGAATACATTACAAAATATGCTTTCTTCTGTGTCTACCACATGTTTCACTCATGACCATTGCCATTATCTTACATTCCTTCAAATCAGTGGCCGACGCTAAATACAGCAGCCACAGGGACCGGTTGTTGCGTCAAGTTGTACTACATCAGCTGCATAAATAATAATGTTTACTACAACTGTACCTTGTGTATTCAGAATACTAGAGACAAACCTACAAACCGACAAACCTAAGGTGTACAGTACCCATGATTTATGATTCCCCTGTTCCTATTACCAAAACAGTAAGAGAAATAATATTTACCTCGCGTCCAGTCACGTCAGCTGTCAAATGTAAGTGGCAGTCCTCATATCCACACACACGTTATCAGGGACGTTATCATAGAACGTTCTTTGTGTTACATACAGCGTTACGAATTGACATAACTATACTTCTTTTCAAACACAAGTCCGCTGATATGAACACCGTTTAGGAAAGGCGCGGGTGACATTCAATAGCCATGCATAAGCCTCGTCCTGTGTCACGACGATCTGGTTCACGGTTGATTACACCTGCCTTCCATACAACAACATGCAACACTAGTACTAACAAGAGCTTATGGGAACACCCTTTATGATTTCCTTTCGTATGGAAAAACTCAACAATGCTTTATGAAACTTTATGAAGTCATATATTTCTTTCTATTTTATTTAGACATATTGCATTCTGGTTTGGTGTGCTTCTTAGATTAATTAGAACAAAACAAATGAGCTGAGCATGAATGAGTGAGTATGGATTTACGCCGCTTTCAGAAATATTCCAGCAATATCACGGCGGGGGACACCAGAAATGGGCTTCACACATTGTACCCATGTCGATAATCGAATCAGGTCTTCGGCGTGACGAGCGAACGCTTTAACCACGTGGCTACCCGACCGCCTCAAGAGCTGAGCATGATGTGCCATTAAGTCGGCTGTGGGAGACAAGAATAGCTTCACACACATTTGAAACCCAGCTTGATGTGAAGGATGTTACTGCATTTCAGAGTTGTGTACCAGGAACAAGACATGGGTGACTCACTTTGAGGAATATGTTATACGAATGTTTAACTGAGACTGAATCAAGCTGAAACTACATTTTTCTCCAATCTGTTTCCCTGTTTTTATGTTATTCTCTAACTGAAGATTGTAATATGTCCAACGTCGGACGACATACCAATGATAAGAGCGAATTGAGTTTTAGCGCCACAACTTTATCGGGGAGAACCGGGATTCGAACCAATGATCCTAGGATTCTGGCGTGCGAATTTCGGCACCTTCGACTGGGCCATTCGTGTCCTCGCACCACTCCCCCCCTCCCCCCCCCCCCCCCCCCCCCCCCCTCCCCCCCTCCCCAAAAAAAAAGAAAAAAGAAAAGGAAATAAGGAGAAACAACAAGGAAAATATAACATCATTCGTATCCCATTGTGATTCTTGCCAACATGAAAATCAGCATTCTTGTTCTACGGGACGCACCTGCCACTCACACAATTTTCAGAAAAAACTAATTGTTTGTTTCTCGCACCCGGAAATACTTTAGCTTTTATCTTACTTTCGGTTCACAAAACAAGGAAAATAGTGTATCCACCATCGTAACGTCAACATACCCCACTAGGGTGAGTCATGGTCAGTGTTCCAGCAGGCTGTTTGTCTTTGTATGCATGTACAGAGGTTAAACAAGAGGCGAGTAAACCTTAGTTCCCGATTTGGCATTATTATGTAAAGTTATCTGATCTTTGACAAGGGGCAATCCATTAATATTAACCTAAAACGCTTACCTAAATGTTTTATTTGACATTTACGTTTTACCACATTTTAGAGACACTCAAACCCAAGTAAATGTATGTTTTCTTCTCATAGCACGAATCCGTAGCACACACACACGTGTAACTGTACATAGGCATATGCCGGCATATTATTTACATGACAGTTTCAACTGGTTATTATATAGTTCTTACAGGTGTCAGTCGACCTTCCACTCGAAAGTTCCTGCAATAAACGCAAGTCACCCACTCACTCAGCCAATCAATCATTATGGCTCAGCTAACATAAGTATATACAGTACATTTCAACTTATATAATACCAATGTTGAATCTAAAGAAAGAAAAGTTGAGAGACAATATGATCAATCTCTGATCCATGACAAAGTTGAAGTAATTTCGTGTGAACTGAAGCTGAACGACTCCATTTACAGTGATACGCATATTTAATACAATAAACTCTTTGTGGGTTTGTGTTGTCGTTCATAACGTCATATTAACATACTTGTATATACAGGTAGTTCATTGCAAACGATTCCGTCATATGTCCTGCATTATGTTAATCGTAAGTAAGGACCGTCATAATGTATAAAGAGGAGTCAGCCTTTACGTGGACATATTGCAAATGAATACAATTTCTTAATGTTATGGAGTCCCTGTGCATTCTACTATGTACTGCTGACTCAAAATGACAGCTATATTCATTCCTTTGTCAAAAGTGAAATGTGTATGCCAAAGTGTGTGTGTGAATAGATGACTGTTAATAATAAAGAACGCATAATGGCTTTATATCTGGCACCATTTGTTATGCATTCTATATTTAACATACGCTGTGGTCACAACTTGGAGCCGAAATCGTCATATAACTGAAATACAAAAAAAATCAAATTTATAATGGAATGAATACACTTTCAATTGATTTCTTTGTTATTTGATGCTTGCTGGTGACTCATTCCTTGTGGACATCTAGAGAAACATATGTAGTTTTGTTATACAAACTGTTCAGTAGACGTAAGTGATATCTTAGATATTTATTCTAAGCCCGGTCTGTCCCAACCAGCTGTCCTCTAAAGTCTGGCTGCCCAACATGAAAAGTTTGTAGTTGTCCTCACTGACAAGGCCTCAGATAACATAACCATTATATGTAAACATCACTACATTAATTGTTTGATCAAAGAAATTGGTATAAGTGACATATCAAGTAATGCCACATATAAGGCCAGCATGGTAACTGAGGACAAAAATCTGTCAACACCCTGCACCGGTACCATAATTTTTTCACTTTCTCATCTACACTGGATTCTGAAGTAAAAAAGTATAAAATCCGTACAAAGTGTCCAGCAACTTGTTGTCAAAACATTGGCTTTTACAACTTTGTACACACGCTAGTCTGCATTTACAGGACTCAACTATTGACTAGTCAGATCATTATCATTCTGTCTCAACGTGTCAAAGATAACTGAATCCTCACACAACTAAGGATCACAACTCTGAAGTAAGATTGCGTCGCCGAGATCCCTAGATATGGGGCAGGATTAATAAGATGAAAACATCTTGATCCAATAAGACTACAGTGTCATGTGATGCAAACACCATGGTTTAAAAGATACTCCAATACATGTGACATGTATTTTGATAGTGTAGCATAGAGCATAAACAAACTATCACTTCGGCCCATGTCGTTCACATCTATTTCATGGTGGAAATGTTCCTACAGAAACACTATCACTGGGCCCGTCTCATTCATATCGATGTCTTGGTATGCCTGTTCCGATTCTTGGCCTGTCCTGGGTGCATCCAGCTCTCCACGCCGTGGCTCCTGTTGACTTCCCAGCTCTTTCTCCTGTGGACTTTGTCTGAAGAAACAAGGGGTACTTTGAGTTCACCACACACCTTAGTTTTGTCTACATTTGTATGTACTGTACAACCTATAAGTATTCTGTATTTAGGACGAGTCACACACAAAAAGTCTTCCAATTTCCTGGCCGTAGTTGGTGCTTGTTTTACTGATGTCGATATCTTAAGACATCCCGACTCTATACGGATATGGTGCTGACATATTTAGGATCATATTCAGAAACAATCGGAGATTCGAACTGAATAATTCCGGATCCTGACTCAACAACTGTGATACAATGCAATATAACGCCAGTTTGTAACAAATTAACACAGGAAGAAAGACGGCGTGATGCTGGTCATGGTGACAAAGTAAGACTCATAATAAGGTCGAACCTGGGATTCGAACCCGAGTTGCGGAGCCTCGACCGACTGGGTACACAATGTCATGCCTAACGAGATGCTAAAACTGTTACCAGGAAACTATAACGTCATGAATATATACAGTAGCTGTATCACCAGGAAGCTCTGACGTCATGAATATATACAGTAGCTGTATCACCAGGAAGCTCTGACATCATGATATATATACAGTAGCTGTATTAACAGGAAACTATAACGTCTTGAATATATACAGTAGCTGTATCACCAGGAAGCTATAACGTCATGAATATATACAGTAGCTGTATCAACAGGAAGCTATAACGTCATGAATATATACAGTAGCTGTATCACCAGGAAGCTATGACGTCATGAATATATACAGTAGCTGTATCACCATGAAGCTATAACGTCATGAATATATACAGTAGCTGTATCACCAGGAAGCTATGACGTCATGAATATATACAGTAGCTATATCACCAGGAAGCTATGACGTCATGAATATATACAGTAGCTGCATCACTAGAAAGCTATAACGTCATGAATATATACAGTAGCTGTATCACCAGGAAGCTTTGACATCATGACTATATACAGTAGCTGTATCACCAGGAAGCTCTGACGACATGAATACATACAGTAGCTGTATCAACAGGAAGCTATGACGTCATGCATATATACAGTAGCTATATCACCAGGAAGCTATGACGTCATGAATACACACTGTAGCTCAATCACATGAAGCTATAACGTCATGAATCTATAAAGCAGCTCTATCCCTAAGGAGCCTTAACTTCATGAATATATACAGTAGCTACATAACTAGGAAGCTCTAACGTCATGAATTTGTACATTATCGGATCACAAGGAAGCCATAACTCTATGACTATCATGAAGGAGCTATAAGCCATCAATTTACACAGTAGTTATATCACAAGGAACCTGTAGCGTCATAAATATATACAGTAGCTGTATCACCAGGAAACTCTGACGTCATGAATATAGTCAGTAGCTTTTTTAAAAACAGGAGTCTAACGTCATGAATATATATAATTTCCGTATCACAAAGAATCTATAACGTCATGCATATATCCAATAGCTGTATCACAAGGAAGCTATAATGTCACGAATAAACACAGTAACTTTATTAGTAGGAAGCGGTAAAGTCATAAATATATACAGTAGCTGTATCACTAGGAAGCTCTGACGTCAAGAATATATACAGTAACTGTATCACCAAGAAGCTATGACGTCATCAAAATATACAGTAGCTGTATCACCAGGAGGCTGTAACATCATGAATATATACAGTAAAAGTATCACCCTAAACCTATGATGTCATGGATATATACAGTAGCTATATCACTAGGAAGCTATGACGTAATGAATATATACAGTCGCTATATCACCAGGAAACTATGACGTCATGAATATATACAGTAACTGTATCACCAGCAGGCTGTAACGTCATGAATATATACAATAGCTGTATCACTAGGAAGCTGTAACGTCATGAATATATTCAGTCATTGTATCACCAGGAAGCTATGACGTCTTGAATATATACTGTAGCTATATCACCAGGGAGCTAAGACGTCATGAACATGTAGAGTAACTGTATCACCAGGACGCTATGATGTCATGAATATATACAGTAACTGTATCACCAGGGAAACATAACATCATGAATATATACAGTAATTATATCACCAGGAAGCTATGACGTCATAAATATATACAGAAGCTATATCACCAGGAAACTATGACGTCATGAATATATACAGTAGAAGAATCACCATAGAACTATGACGTCATCAATATATACAGTAACTGTATCACCAGGAAACCATAACATCATGAATATATACAGTAACTGTATCACCAAGAAGCTATAACGTCATGAATATATACAGTAATTGTATCACCAGGAAACTATGACGTCATGGATATATACAGCAGCTGTATCACCAGGACGTTGTAAACTCTTGAATATACACAGTAACTGAATCACCAGAAAGCTATAACATCATGAATATATACAATAATTGTATCACCAGGAACCTATGACGTCATCAATATATACAGTTGCTGTATCACCCAGAAGTAACTTGATAAATATACAGAGTGACTGTATCACCAGAATATATAGTAGCTGTATCTCCAGGAAGCTATAACATCATGAATATATACAGTAATTGTATGAAAAGGAAGCTATGACGTCATGAATATATACTGTAACTGTATCACAAGGAAGCTATAACATCATGAATATATACAGTAACTGTATCACCAGGAAGTTGGAACTTCATGAATACACACAGTGCCTGTATCACGAGAAAGCTATGACGTCATGAATATTTACCAGTAACTGTCTCACCAGGAAGCTGTAACGTCTTAAATATATACTGTATAAGTATCACCAGGATGCTATGACGTCTTGAATATATACAGTAGCTATATCACCAGGAAGCTGTAACGTCATGAATATATATAATAGCTGTATCACCAGGGAGCTAAGACGTCATGAATATATACAGTAGTTATATCACCAGGAAGCTATGACGTCATGAATACATACAGCAGCTTTATAACCAGGACGTTGTAACGTCATAAATATATAAAGTAACTGTATCATCAGGAAGCTATAACGTCATGAATATATAGAGTAACTCTATCACCAGGAAACCATAACATCATGAATATATACATTAACTCTATCACCAGGAAGCTATAACGTCATGAATATATACAGTAATTGTATCACCAGGAAACTAATACGTCATGAATATATACAGCAGCTGTATCACCAGGACGTTGTAAACTCTTGAATATACACAGTAACTGAATCACCAGGAAGCTATAACATCATGAATATATACAATAATTGTATCACCAGGAACCTATGACGTCATCAATATATACAGTTGCTGTGTCACCCAGAAGTAACTTGATAAATATACAGAGTGACTGTATCACCAGAATATATAGTAGCTGTATCTCCAGGAAGCTATAACATCACGAATATATACAGTAATTGTATCACCAGGAAGCTATAACATCACGAATATATACAGTAATTGTATCACCAGGAAGCTAGGACGTCATGAATGTATACAGTAACTGTATCACAAGGAAGCTATGACGTCATGAATATATACAGTAACTTTATCACCAAGAAGCTATAACATCATGAATATATACAGTAGTTATATCACCAGGAAGTTGTAACTTCATAAATACACACAGTGCCTGTATCACGAGAAAGCTATGACGTCATGAATATTTACCAGTAACTGTCTCACCAGGAAGCTGTAACGTCTTAAATATATACTGTATAAGTATCACTAGGATGCTATGACGTCTTGAATATATACAGTAGCTATATCACCAGGAAGCTATAACATCATGAATAGATACAGTAGTTATATCACCAGGAAGCTATGACGTCATGAATATACACATTGGCTATATCACGAGAAAGGTATGACGTCTTGAATATATACTGTATAAGTATCACCAGGATGCTATGACGTCTTGAATATATACAGTAGTTATATCACCAGGAAGTTATGACGTCATGAATTTACACAGTGGCTATATCACCAGGAAGCTATGACGTCTTGAATATATACAGTAGCTATATCACCAGGAAGCTATGACGTCATGAATATTTACCAGTAACTGTCTCACTAGGAAGCTGTAACGTCATGAATATTTTCAGTCACTTCATCATCAGGAAACTATGACGTCATGAATGAACACAGTAACTGTATCACAAGGAAACTATGATGTCATATATACATGCAGTAGCTGTATCACCAGGAATTTTTAATGTCATGAATATATAAAGTAACTGTATCACCAGGAAGTTTTAACGTCATGAATATGTACAGTAGCTGTATTACCAGGAACCTATGACGACATGAATTTATACAGTAGCTATATAACTAGGAAGCTATAACGTCACGAATATATACAGTAGCTATATCACAGGAAGCTATAACGTCATGAATATATACAGTAATGGTATCACCAGGAAACTATGACGTCATGAATATATTCAGTCATTGTATCACCAGGAAGCTATGACGTCTTGAATATATACTGTAGCTATATCACCAGGGAGCTAAGACGTCATGAATATATACAGTAGTTATATCACCAGCAAGCTATGACGTCATGAATATATACAGCAGCTTTATAACCAGGACGTTGTAACGTCATGAATATATAAAGTAACTGTATCATCAGGAAGCTATAACGTCATGAACATGTAGAGTAACTGTATCACCAGGGAAACATAACATCATGAATATATACAGTAATTGTATCACCAGGAAGCTATGACGTCATAAATATATACAGAAGCTATATCACCAGGAAACTATGACGTCATGAATATATACAGTAGAAGTATCAACATAGAACTATGACGTCATCAATATATACAGTAACTGTATCACCAGGAAACCACAACATCATGAATATATACAGTAACTGTATCACCAGGAAGCTATGACGTCATGAATGTATACAGTAACTGTATCACCAGGAAGTTGTAACTTCATGAATATACACAGTGCCTGTATCACGAGAAAACTATGACGTCATGAATATTTACCAGTAACTGTCTCAC